CCCAGCAGCCTAAAACCTCCATAACCCAATCACCACCATGCTCCACACACTCAGGATGAGTCTCACACATGAGAATGAATCTGCTTAAAAATCCAGGTTTGTGGGGTTTGTGACCAAAATCTCCAAGCTCTTATGGAGTCAGGAATGGGCAACCTCCCTCCATCACCCTGTGCTTCCAGGAGTCTGGTGGACATGCCCATGAACTGCCTCTAGTGCCATAAAAGCTCATCAACAGCCATGACCCAGAGATTCATAAATAAATCTCAGAAGAGAGGAACAAGCTGCAGAGATGCCTCCAGATCCCCAAGTCACCATCCAGTTTAAAATTTAACTCTAGCTCTATTACCTTATTTAAAATTTTAGAATTCCTAGAGTGTGCAGCCACAAATGTGGTCATATGACATCTCATTCTCCAGTACCAGGAATAGCATACCACATTTGATGGGGTTTAAAGTAGAAGGCAACTGATCTTGATAAAGAAATATTGGCACACATAATCAGCCTGTAACAATATGTTAGTAATCTCTTATACAAGAGCTTAATGTCTCTAGAGTGAGATACAACAATATTCAGACACTTTCCTCTAAGGAAACTTTTAAAAATCATTTTTAGCGAAATATTCATAACAAGCTATACAGAATAAATTCTTTAGGACCTGCCTTTCAGGCAAGCTTGGTAATGGTGGAAAAATTCAAAATAATGGCAACAGGATTGGTGTTGGAATACTGAATGTAATAAATTATCGTGAACAACTTCATAAAAATAAAATTTTTAAAAATTATTTTTAAAAAAGTGCAAGGATTAAGGCACTTGCCTTGTATGTGGCCAGCCTGGGTTAGATTCCAGCACTCCATATGGTCCCCCAAGTCCTGCTGGAAGTGATCCATGAACATAGAGCCAGGTGTGAGCCCTGAACACTGCCATGTGTTGTTCAAAAAACAAATATCTCTGGAGCTTCACTTCACCCTTGGGAACTCTATACTCTTGACATTGGAAAAGTTAGACAGAAGCAAAACATACCAGGGCACTTTTTTTTTTCTTTTTGGGTCACACCCAGCAAAGCTCAGAGGTCACTCCTGGCTCTGTACTCAGGAATCACTCCTAGTGGTGCTTGGGGAACCATAAGGGATGCTGGGAATCGAACCCAGGTCAGCTGCATGTAAGGCAAAAGCCCTATCCGCTGTACTATCACTCTAGCCCTGTACCAGGGCACTCCAGTACATTGACTCAGTGGGAAGTCTACTGGACGGGTCTCACAGAAGACTTCCTAACTCCAAGCAAAAATTCATGTGCATTGATGTGCCAACTGGAATTTGTTATTCTGAGGGGAGCAAACCTAATGCTAATTTGGTCATTAAACCAAGAATGAGAGAGATTAGTAACAGAAAAACTTGGATCCTTACAAACTTAGCTGAGCATGTGGTCACACCACTTTGGAACTTTTATCCCTGAGAATTACTGTAAAGTGAAATAATGGCTTGAGTTTCTTGATATTGTTAGGAAACACAAGGCCCCATTCCCATTGCTAATGTCATAGCAAAGATATACATGGCTCTGGTATTTCTCTACTGGAGTCAGAGAGATAGTCCAGTAAGTAAGATTGGCTTTGCATGTGGCTGCTCTGGGTTCAATCCCTGGTACCCCATAAGGTCCCCTGTACACTTCCAGAAGTGATCCCTGAGCACAGAGCCAGGAGTAAGCCCTGAGTACCTATAGGTGTCCCCCACACCCCCAAAAACTTATTCCTCTACTGATTTAAATATTAAAGTCTATATTTTAAAAATATTGGGGGAGTAGATAATACAGTGGATAGGGGAACTTGCCTTGCATGCAGCTGACCTGGGTTGAATCCCCAGCACCCTATATGGTTCCCCGAACCCTGCCAGGAGTGATCCCTGAGTGTAAGCCAGGAGTAAGCCTTGATTACTGCCAAGTAAAGAAAAAAATATTATTTTTGGAGAGGAGGGTCATACCCAGTAATGCTGGAGGCTACTCTCAGCTCAGTGTTCAGGGACTGCTCTCAGTGGTGCTAAGGGTATTATGCAGTGCCTGGTATTAAGTCCAAGTCTCCTGCATGTAAAGCATGGGTTCCGATCCACGATTCTTCCCAGTCCCTGAAATTGTTTTTCCCATTTTCCTAAGTAGTATTTCTTTCCCACTATCTGTTCCTACTCTACTTCCTTCCAAAACCCCTTTACTTTTCTCATTATATAGAAGTCCCAAGTAAAAAATGGAGTTTTCATACAATCTTAAAAGGGATAAAGCAAACCCATCTATAGTGACAAGAAACAGATCTATATTGGTTACTCAGGGATAGGGGTGAGGGTGGGGTGGATAAGAGGTACAATTGGTAAAAGGGATATTAAAGAAGAAACTTAAAGGGTTATAAAGAAATTTTTCGAGAGTTGCCCCCCACGAGCGGCTCTCCGGCACGGCCATGGCTCCAGAAGCACAAGGACTTAATGCAGAGCCCGGCAGCTTGCAGCAGAAAAGTGAATGGACTATGCCTTAATCCACGCCACCATGCCTGCCAGGAGGGGAAAGGGTGTTGGTCCCTTCTGCCTTTTTCCCTCTGGAAAGAAAGATGGCAGTCGCTTGGAAGCTTTGTGGAAAGCCAGGTATGAGCTGGTCGTGATAGGGCAACTAAAACCTCATGGGAAGGGGGGTGTTCCTGGCTCATCCTTCATGCCCTACCGAGGTCGGAGCTGCCCCCCACGAGCAGCTCTCCGGCATGGCCATGGCTCCAGAGCACAGAAACCAATCTCATAACTATCTGACTCTCAGCAGAAATACTTCCAGGGTTAATAAGTAAAATACCAGAAATCCAAAATTGTTTGATTGTTTGATTCTTGTGACCAGCTGTAGAAAACAAATTATTTCACAATGTCTTTTCAGCATGTCTGATTTGGGGGTGTAAACTCTAAATAATGTTGCATCTTTTGTTGAAACAATAAAGCTAGTCAAAGTAAAAAAAAAAAAGAAATTTTTCAGGAGTGACAGATTAAGTTTATTATCTTAATTGTAGAGATAGCTTCATGTTTGTGTGTGTGTGTATATATATATGTATAATATATATGTATATATGTGTGTGTGTGTGAAACCTTATCAAAAATTACATAGGCAATCTTAACAGCAGAGAAATGGCCCAGCATCACAGCTCCAAGTGACCAGGAGACTGCCAATTCTTCCCAGGTAGACTGGTCTGGGCTGTGAACTCTGGGGTCTTCTCTGACCGGAGGTGGACAGACTCCCCTTTCTGCTGGAAGGCCCAGCAACCTGCAGCCATAGCTGATACCTTCTGACTTAGAAAAGGTCCAGCTCCACAAGTTAACCTCATCACACTGCGAAGTCATGAAATTGTTAAGATATTTAGAGTTTGTAAACCACACGGCTGCATATGAGGCCTCAGGCTACCTGCAAATTTCATAGCATTGTCAGTCCAGTAAATTAACAGCAACTCAGATCAGAAAGTTGCATAAGAGACCACTGAGCTCAGTGAGTCCAAACAACACAGAAGGGTCAACTAGCATTTCCCAGAACAGTAGATCCTCAAATACTGACTTAAGTAACATCATTGTGAGATATAAGATCACAAATTCACTTATTCATCTAAGTTTTGATAATTCCATTTGCCTTTGTGCTGAAACAAACAATATGAAGTAATTTTGATTGTCCCTACAAGGTGGCATGATGGGGTGGTAGGTGGGAAACTTGGGACACTGGTAGAGGGAGGGCACACTGGTGGTCGGATTGGTACTGGAACATTAAATGGCTGAAACAACTGTTCATAATTATGAACAATTTGGTAAATCATGGAGTTACAATAAAAATAAATTTTTAAAAACTGTACACATTAAGTGAGAAAAGTTTGTTATGTTATCAATTTTACCTTAAAATAAATACAATAAATACAGTATGGAGATATTAATAGGTAGGTTGACTACATGACTATTTCTGTGCTAACAACAAAAATCTTTTCTCAACTTTCAAAGTCTACATAGGATTGACTAGACTCCCAACTCACATTAACCTGGGTGCCTGACCAATGTCAGAAATAAGTTATATACTCACTAATGCCTGCAGAATGGAGTTTCTGTGAGCCAATCACCAAAAAGTTTTATGGAAAAGATTTTTAGCTAATGCTCACTTCCTCTTGTAAGCTAAGCTAAAAATATATAGGTACATTAAAACTCCTTAAAATCCTGTACCTTTTCAAATCACACAATGTTCCTTTGGGATTCAAGCTCTTCTATTTGCCGCTGTCAATTCCCGCCTACTCTTTCACTCCCATCTCACTGGTATTCACTTAATCCAAATTTTTCTTATTCTTTATCTGTGCTTTGTTTTTGAGCACAATTGGTGGTGTCCAGGGGTCATTCCTGGTGGTGCTTAGAGGATCATGGGAGGTAGGCAACAGAACCATGGGCCCCTGTGTGCAGTCATCTGTCCCAAACTCCCACCGCCATTTCTCTATCTGAAAGAAGTCCACATTTACCTTCTGATTGCCTGAGAATAAACAACCACTATTATTCCTTCGGGGAGGAAAGGGGTTAGGGCTTTATGGAGGGGTCACACCTGATAGTGACTGAGTATACTCCTGGCTCTACGCTCGGGGTCATTCCCTGTGGTGCTAGGGAAAAAGCCAGGTTGAGTCACATGCAATGTAAGCACCTTACTCATCTTAACTATCTCTTCACACCCTATATTTCTTTTTTGCTTTTTGCTTTTTGGGTCACACTCAGAGATGCATAGGGGTTACTCCTGGCTCTGCTCTCAGGAATTACTCCTGGCAGTGCTTAGGGGGCCATATGGGATGCGAGAACCGACCCGGGTCGGCCATGTGCAAGAAAAATGCCCTACCCACTGTTCTATCACTCCAGCCCCACCCTATATTTCTATGCCAAGCCAAAACACCAAGGAAAGTTTTTGTAGACATCTTTTTATACTCTCAAATCTGACCTCTGGATAGGGAACAAGAGTAAAAAGAAAAGAGAGCTTACCCATGGAGTACAGATTGTCAAAGCTCTGGTGCATGCGAATAATTTCATAGTAGAGCTCATCATAGCTGCTAGGGGTGGGCAGGAAGGTGTCGCCGTATGTAATAAACATATTGAATAGGTTCACAATCTAAAAAAACAAAAGTATCAGTCTATGAAGACCAGAAAGATTTGTTTTTGGGTTACACAGTAGTTCTTCGAGCTTACTCCTAGCTCCATGCTCAGTACTCTGAGCAGTACTCAAGAGGGGCTTTGCAGTGCCTGGGATCAAACTGAGGCCAACCAGGTGCAAGACAATTGTCTTATCTGTTGTACTGTCTCTCTAGACTGAACCCAAAAGGTATGGTCAACTTGTGTGAACTGTCAAATTTACAGGAATTTTATGAGCTGATAGCTAAACATGGCCATCATTAAACAGGGAATGTAGAGTATATGCTTTACTTTTGTGAGGTCTGGGGCTGCAGTGATAGCACAGCGGGTAAGCTGCTTGTCTTGCATGCAGTCCACCCAGGTTTGATCCCCAGCAATCCATAGGGTCCCCTGAGTCCCACCAGGAGTCATCCCTGAGCACAGAGCCAGGACTAAACCTTTGAGCATTGCCAGGTATGCCCACCCCAACCCCCCAAAAAAACCACTTTTGTTGGGCCTGAGTTCCATCCCCAAAACTGCAGAGAGAGAGAGAGAGAGAGAGAGAGAGAGAGAGAGAGAGAGAGAGAGAGAGACCAATATTAGAAGCAAAACACATATTAAATAAATTATATTAAAATAAAGGTAAGGAGCCTCTGAACTGGCTCTGACGCCATGTAAGATCATTAACCTGCCATGATCCAGAAATTCATAAATAAATCTCGAAAGAGATCAACAAGCTGCAGAGATGTATCTGGACCCCAACGTCACCATCCAGTTAAAAATTTAACCTCAGTGTATCATCCCATCAAAATTTTAGAATTCCTTGGGCATACAGCTGCATTTGCAGCTATGCAACATCTGTACACCACTGGTATACTAGGAGTAGCATACTACACTGGATGGGATGTAAAGTAGAAGGTAACTAATCTCAATTAAGAAAATATTAGCACACAAGGCGTAATCTGTAACAATATGTTAGTAATCTCTTAATAGCTTCAGGGTAAGATACAACAATTCACATGCTTTCTTCTAAGGGAAATTGTTTTGATCATTTTTAGCAAATTAATTATAACAAGCAATAAAATAGGTCCTGATACTGGGGCAGGCTTGGGTGGTAGCTGGGAAAACTGGAAATAATGGTGATGGGAAGGTGTAATGGTGGTGCGATTGTGTTGGAATATTGAAAGTAATAAATTATTGTAAGCTGCTTTATAAAAATTAAAAATGAATAATAAATAAGTAAAATAAAGGTAAGGGGCTGGAGCAATAGTACAGCGGATTGGGCATTTGCCTTGCATGTGATCGATCAGGGTTAGATCCCCAGTATCCCTTATGGTTCCCTGAGCACCACCAGGAGTGATTCCTGAGTGTAGAGCCAGGAGTATCTCCTGAGCATCGCCAGGTATGACCCAAAAGGCAAAAATAAAATAAAATAAAGGTAATACTTAAACTGGTCACTCCTAAATATATTCTATTTGCTACTCTTATTGTTCTTGAGATTATTTTATACCTTTTACATTTATGAGGCAGGACTATCAAAAATGGTGTCCTAACTTTACATTTTCAATGATGTTATACTGATAGCTTAAAATTGACCATGATGAGTATGCTTTTACCATTGGAAATCAGCAATTCTACAATAGGGCTTTTTCCTCCAAATATAGGACACATTTACAAACACCCTAAGTAATATTCAGAGAAGAGAGTCAAAAGAGGGGCTGGAGTGATAGCACAGCAGGTAGGGCGTTTGCCTTGCACGCAGCCAACCCGGGTTTGATTCCCAGCATCCCATACAGTCTCCTGAGCAACGCCAGGGATAATTCCTGAGTGCAGAGCCAGGAGTGACCCCTGTGCATCGCCGGGTGTGACCCAAAAAGAAAAAAAAAAGAGAGAGAGAGAGAGGGAGTCAAAAGACAGAATGCCTGTCTTCAACTCCAAATAACCTTTTAGATATACAATGTATTACACTATTCAGAAACCAAGTATGGCCATGATGAACTCATTCATCTTACCTAGAGGTAGAGACTTTTTTAAGCCTTTCGTTTAGGGTGGAGGCAGGAATGGGGGCGGGGAGTAGGGTAGAGGATTGGGTCACCATCCAGTGGTGCTCAGGGATATTCCTAGCTCTGTATTCAGGGATCATTCCTGGCAGACTTGGAAAATTATATGGGGTGCCAGGGATCAAACTCAGGTTGACCATGTGTAAGATAAGTACTCTTCCTGCTATTCTATCTCTCCAGCTATTTAACGTTGTTTTTTAAAAAGCTATTTTCCAAAGCAGAAATTACAGTAGCAAAGTACAATTTCAACAAGGATTGAGTCTTACTGTACATACTATCCTATACCTGCCTCTGCAGTGTACTTTCATGAAATAATACACTTTCAGGAATGAGAAAGTATCTGAGATACAGCAAAGATATAAAACTGGAGAACACAAGTCTGCATATTTTGATCAAAAGGAAAGTAAAGAGTTGGTTCCTCCTGCAGGTTAATCCCAAGGCCACCAGCTCTTATTCCAAACTGGCTCAGCTCTCCCTTAGGTATGACTTCAGAAAAAGAAATGCTTTTTTGCTACTCACCATAAGGGCCAAGGTAAAAATGTTGTGTTTTGCCAAAAGGACGGTCTCATTTGACATAAGGAACTTCAGCAAATTTATCAAAGCTTTAAAAAAGAGAAAGAGAAATGATTTAAAGCATAATCTATAAAGTTAAATAAATGCAATGAAAGTAGACTGATTCTACAGTAATTGAAATAGGGCAAAAATAAGTCAGGCTATCAAGGACTTTTATATGTGTGTGGGCGAGGGCAGTGGGGAGAGGTTTGGGGTCATACTGGATTATAGCCAGCAATGCTCAGGGGCTGTTCCTCCAATGATGCCTCAAAAGACTGTGGTACTGGGGATTAAACTGGAGTTGGCCGTATTCAAAGCAAGTGCCTTAATCACTATATCTAGAGTCCCCTACCAAGGACTTTTAAAAAGTAAGTAAGGGGGCTGGGATGTGATTCAAGTGGCAAGCTCATATGTTGCAAATGTAAGGCCTAGGTTCACGTAACACCACATGGTCCCCAGAGCTTTGGTGTGCTCCCTTCCCCATATGCGTGCCACTGAATAAGGTCTCTCAACTACAACCCCCCACAAAAAAGTGGGGGGGAAGTAAAAGCAGGCAAGACAGGTATGTTTGAAGCAAGCACTGGTCCTCCCAAACATGTGCCTGCTTATCTCCCAAAGTTTTTTTAAAATCAACTACTTTTTACCACTTTTTAAATAATAAGTTCAGAAATTTGACTATAAAACAGAAATCTTCATGTTCCAAATTTACTCCCACATGGCGATTTCCCCTTCAAATGTGTTCAATTTACAGGCAAAATTGAACACCCCCCTCCCTCGCCCCTGGCTGTTAGAATCTCATATTACTAAGCTTTAGCTATGTATTTTGTTCCAAACATCATTACCAGAAGAGATATACCTTAATTCTAACTGGTCACCAGTCTGCTAGCAGTAGCATAAAACCTACAGCTGGACTTTAGCTCTGAATGGGAGGCAAAAATCCCTATTTAGCTTTTAAAAATAATGTGCTGCTTACTCTGGCCTCTATCAATGATGGCAATATTTGAAAAGGCCCCCATTTTGCCTGTCAATCTTTATTTTCCTTTTTCTTTTGTTTTTTGGTTTCTGAGTGACACCCTGTAATGCTCTGGAGTTACTCCTGGCTCTGCACAAGAATTACTCCTGGTGGTGCTTGGGGGACCGTACGAGATGTTGGGGATTGAAACCGGGTCAGCCACATACAAGGCAAATGCTCTACCTGCTGTATCCAGCCCCTCTGCCTGCCAATCTTTAATGCGGGTGTGATTGCTAAAACCCAAGCAACCTAAGTAAAGAGACTATTAACTTCCTAGGTTAACAAAAGGTAAAGGTAAAGGCCCTCCCGTTGTTCATCGATTTGCTCAAGCGGGCCCAGTAACGTCTCCATTGGAGACTTTGTTGTTACTGTGTTTGGCATATCGAATACGTCACGGGGAGCTTGCCAGCGGAGGACCACCAGGTTGCCTAAGGAGGGGTGAACCTAGGTTAATAATGTAGGTATAAAAATATTTTTGTGGGGCTGGAGAGCCAGTACAGTGTATAGGGTACTTGCCTTGCACATAGCTGGTTCCTGGCACACATATGGGTCTCTGAGCCCCACCAGTAGTGATCCCTGAGCACCAGCAGGTGTGACCACCCCCCACCACACAACAAACTAAAAAAACCAAAAAACTTATTGAGATATTTTTGCAGTTACCAGGAGGCTTACTTTTCCCCCCAGGGCTGTGAACTGAATGCTCATTCTGTATCCATTTAGAATACTTCTCCTATATTCGATTTCCTACCTATGAAGGACTGATGGTCTAATCTTCCCTTCAGCCTCCATCCCCATTCTCCACAGACAAAAAACAGGCTTGACATGACCCTTTCTTTTCCAAGACTATATCTGCTTCTTTGCAATCAAAGAACTTCATTCTCCCTCGCTGTCTAACTTTGTGTGAAGTTTACCACTCTAAGGGAAGAGATGTGAGCTTTGGTGTGAAACAGCAGGGAATGACGAGTAGGAGTAGAACTCTCTAGACACCTGCTGCCTGACACACGAACCCTCTCATTCTCAACCCCCTGAAAGCACAGGTACAGTAAAGGAAACAGCAGGCAAGAAAAAAAGACAAGAGTGTCTACATTCTCTGTCTAAGCCTGTACTTTCCCCCAGAAATAGCAAAAACGCTTTGCTAGGGATGAAGGAGGTAGGCACCATCGTTTATGAACTCTTCACCTCTGTCCTGACAACTTAAGTTCCTGAGGTTTCATAATAGAAAGGCAAGTGATAGACAGCTGGCCCTTTTGATGCTGTTAGCAAGTGATCTGTACAACCAGACCAAAAAGAGGCTCTATGGGAGTCCACGCTTAGCTCCTACAAGGAGCACAGATAAATGAGACTAGCAAAATTCACATAAAGATGATTAACCTCAGACAAAACCTCTCTCCTGAATGATCATCTTGCTGAGTTATTTAAGAGCTGCTCACTCCAACCCCTAACCCCAGAACTTACATAAGCCCTGATGGTAGATAAATCACCTGACAATCAGCCTCAGTCACAGGAGACAAGAAAAAATGGTGGGCAGGACAAGTGGCACTCTGCACAGCAGAACAGCTGGAAAGGACAAAGCAGCTTCTATGTACGGATGTCAAGGGTTTTTGTTCCCAGCACACACAGCACAAAGATGCAGCCTCAGCATTGGTTATGTGGTAATTAAGGAGTAAGAAATCCAGAAGAAAGAAGTGGGAGCAATGATTTATTGCTCCTCCGTTGGACTACAGCTAGTCTTCATCTCTGGGATTCAGAGCCAGGGATGACAAAGTGATAAATATGAGAGCAGGAAGAGAGCAATTTTGACACAGGCTAAGAGGTGACCTGTTTCCCAACTGCCACAGACATCACAGAGAAGGTGATACTGAGTGTCAGTCTTAGAAGGTAGCTGCAGTCTGCTCCTGATTATTCAGGTACACCCTCTCCCCTCCAAATTAAACCAAGAATTTCTCACCTAAAAGCAATCATTTTCTAGACCGGAGTTTCTCAGTTGGAAGCCACATGGCCCCTCGGGTGCACCAGGATAGTCCAACGGGGTTACAGGTTAAAATGTAAATAGGGGGGTGGGGGAACACGGCATAAGACTAGGGGGCTAACCAATAGGACAAAGGGGACCAAGGAAAGAAAACAAGGTTGAACTGGGGTCATAGTCAGAAAAGAATGTCAAAAACACTGCTCTGGAAGGAATTTAATAGGCAGCCAACATGAACAAAGCAACCTTAAAGATGGTCCCACAAGCCTCTGAAAAGATTACAATTCTCTTCTAGAGGCAATATCTCATGAAATAGTGCTTTCCCTTCAACAGCTCCTACCTCTGTACTCATCCTATGAGTACAATGTCTTACAGCATTACATGCATTCTTCTGATATGACAGGATGGGTATTCTATCTGGCTTCAACATAGCAGACAAATATATCTATCTATATGTAGATATAGACAAACACACACACACACACACACACACACCCCTATAGAGAGAGAGCGCTAAAAGGGACTATATAGGCAAGTATATCAAATGTCTTCCTTTTTGTTAAGGAATCTTACCCCCACCCTTCACCCCAACTAGCTAATGACCAGGCAGGACTAAAACCTAAAACCTGTTCTCCCGTTTAGTGATTTCTTTATGATTTCATTAAAATACAGTTAAACAGGGCCAGAGAGAGAGCTCAAAGGGCTAATATTCATGTTTGGAATGCAGGACACTTGGGTTCCATCTCCAGCACGTCCCCTGAGCACAGACCCAGCAATCATTCATGGACACTACCAAGTGTGTCCCAAAAGCAAAAACAAAACATGATTAAACACATAAAGGTGCCAGATGGAGTTAAATGTTCAAAGGCCGAAAGCACAACTGAAAACCGTATGTTTACTCAGACAGGCCCACTGCTCTGCTACCTGCACTTCTATGGAGACTAGTTTACAACTTGATCCAACTGTGCTGGTCCATCCAGGTTATTTCTGCCCATTTTGGTCCCCTTTTCTATGGGTTCTCATATACTTTATTAGAGTGCAGGTGAAATACTTTTCTACTCCTCAATCTCAACATTCAACAACAAAAACTTTTCTCATCATAAGCCCCCTCAGCAGGGGGCTTATGATGTCAATACTTCCATCTTTCTCCTTTTCTGTCCCCTCTCACACCACTCTCTCCTCTTCTGTTTTAACTTGTTCTATTATTATTATTATTATTTTTAATGCAAAAACAGTCAGAGAAACCACTAAACAGGCAAAGCAGCAAACTGGGACTCAAATCCCCACCGAACATGGTCCTCCAAGCACAGCTGTGAGAAACCCCCTGAGCACAGAGCTGGGAGTCTCCCCTGAGCACTGTGGGGAACTCCCCAAAACAAATAAAAAAAAGCTTTTAAGACAAAAATAGATGAAACTTGAGTTGATTATGCTAAGTGAAATACTGAAGTAGAAGTGGAAGACAATTATTAGATTGTTTCAATCCTGTGTAGAATATGAATTTCTAATGCAAACTGGGTAGAAACAACAAAACATTGAGACTGTAAAATGTATAAATGGGTACAGAGGGAAAGGGGATGGAGGGTGGGAGGAATGAGCAGACAGATCTTTTGGGGTGTCGTAACAATTCCACACATATATGAAAGTAAACACCTGAAATTCCATAATATTGCAAACCAATGACAAATCAATGAAATCATTAAGACTTTAAAAATTAGGGCTGGAGCAATAGTACAGGTAGGATGTTTGCCACAGAGGCAGGGTGGGCTGGGGGGGATGGGGGGTGGGAGGGATACTGGGATCCGTGGTGGTAGGAAATGGGCACTGGTGGAGGGATAGGTATTTGATCATTGTGCAATTGAAACCCAAGCACAAAAATTTGTAAGTCCACAACTGTACCTCATGGTATCTCACTAATAAAAATTTTAAAAATTTAAAAAAATTAATAGGGCCAGAGGGGCTAGAGTGATAGCACAGTGGGTAGGGCGTTTGTCTTGCATGCGGCCCATGTAGCCGACCCGAGTTTGATTCCTCCACCCCTCTTGGAGAGCCCGGCAAGCTACCGAGAGTATCTC